TATAGCTTCTATCAGCACATTTACAGATAAGTGTTACTGGAACATTTGTAATCATTCCTTTCCCACAATAAATATCAGTGTTATGACGTATGCATTCATCATATCAACCCAACAAAAACAACAAATCAGTAAGCTCTCTTTACATGTTCACCAAACCACATACAAAAATCTGTTAACTGTCATTAACTGCCCAAAGAATAGAGTGCTTCCAGGATTCATGTGGCTCTGACATTTCTAACAGAGTGAGCCACAGCTGACATTAACCTCAATAATGCCACCAGCAAAAGTGGTGAACAGAAAAAGAGGAGCCAAATGGGAACAAACATCACAGTTTCCCCGCAGAAAACCAAAAAAAAAAAAAATCAGCCAGCTTAGAATAGAAAAGACACACATAAGAACCCAAAGGCTTCAAATTCAAAGGCAAAATCTTCCACTGATCCTCCTAATTACATGATTACAAAATAAAATAGAAAGAAAACATTCAAGGAAAGTTGCAGGACTTCCCCTTGCTTATAAATACAATACTGTATAAATAAGAGTACAAACGATTGTAGAAAAAGGTATGAGGAGAGCAACAAAATCACAGCCTTGTCCTTGTGTGTGTTGGGATGTGTGGACAAGATGTTGCCACACCAAACAATAAGTGGAGTAATTATCGATCTGACTCACAGAAGCGTGGGTAATCTCCAAAAATCTCAAATTTGTGTCAATCAAAGTTCTGTGGATTCTTCTTTAGTGGAACCTATCACTGCAGTTTTTCTCCTCTACAGGGAAGCGAATTCATGACAGTGCTGTATTTTAAATGAAAATAAAAAAAGTAAAATCTGGAGATATAGTCAGCTTTTCAAACATCACACCATGTTGGGAATAAAGAAGCCTAAAATTTGACAGGCCGCTGAAGTAAGGGATCTTTGCTATGTGTCAAACTTTGACATGTAGTTGATTTGTGAGTAACAACATAGTGTTGACCCAGGGTGAGTTTGGCTACAAGTTCAGCATTCTGTGATATCTGGGCCATATCTGGTTCACACGACATTTGCTGGCACCACAGCTGAGCCTTAAACTCTTCCACCAAGTCACTGGTGACACATTGGGGATAGGCTTGGGTTTTGTTTGAGCTGCATGCTAAATAGGCAAAAAGTCAGACACTAGCAGATGACACGTTTTCAATGAAGTCACATATTTTTGGCATTACAATCATTCTGGGTGTTCTAAGCAAGCACAAACTGTACAAAAAGGGGCGCATGTTAACCAACCCTAACCCTAGATTGGCTGTCAGTGACCCGACAGCCCAAATTAGCCCCAAATGTGATACCTGGAAAGTGATTTTAGCCAACTCATCTCACACACGTCTACTTGAGTTGCTGATGGTTCATGAAGGTGAAAAGTTCCGCTGTGGTGAAAATCTTTCACACGATAAGATGTGGACAATTGACACACACATCAGTCCTACTCTGGACCAGAAGGTGGATTCTATCCCAGCATGCTTTGGGTGGACGATAGAGAAGCACAGCAAGACAATGTAGAGTGGCAACAATGACAAAATAAATAAATCTTGCTTTAAATACCTACATCTGCACACGGCAGGACACAGACCAGTGAGGGCCAGGTTAGGGAAAGATTGTCATTGGGTAAGGGTATGGTAAGGATTAGGCAATTAAGTAATGAAAGATTGCATTTTATTAACCCTAAACACAAACATTAAACAGAAATTCTTATTTCCTATGTCAAAGTTTGATGCTCTGTACCTCTACCCATAAACCCAGTCTAGACATAAACCAACGTCTGCTGCTTACACTGCAAATCTGACTAAACTAACAATGTGATTGAATATATTTTTATGTATACTTTACCACCACCCTCTGGTGGCTATCCACCTAAAGCTTTTTGGAAACCGGCTGGACTGAGTTGCACCAACTCTTCATTTAGTTAGGTAAACTGGTTTTGAACAATGACAGATTTTTGTCCAAAAAATTCCAGTGGATAATGACAGAAATATTTTCTTGGTTAAGAAAAACTTCAAGTCAAGAACACTCTCACGGAGGTAGCTGTACCATTGTCAAAAGCTGCAAGTAAGTGACGACTTAATGTCTTTACACGGACACTGTGTATAATTTAAATAAATATTCTGAGAAGTGAAGATATGCAGAGGTTCACCAATCTGCAAAAAAAGCACATTTACAAACTGTGGAACAGTTTAAGACCAGCGTTCCTCAGCGTAAAATTATGAAGACGCTCAATATCTCATCAAGAGTACACAATATCATCAAAAGACTCTGAGCACCTAGAGAAATCTGTTTGCAAGGGACAAGGTCAAAATCAATATTGGATGCCTGTGTTCATGAGTTAAAAACAATCCTTAAGTTTGAAATTATTTGAGTTTGTCCAGTTATTTGGGGAATTCATATAGGGTGTTCAGGTGGACTAATAGGGACTGTATTCCTAAACACTCTGTTTTCTCTGTATCCATGCAATTTAAGTATGTGCTGCCTTCTCATTTATTAATTTTTGCATATTTGTCACACGACAGGTTCCAGATCATCAAGCAAATGTTAGACAAAGACAGCCTGAGTAAATACAAGTTGCACTCTTTAAAGTATTTTTTGATTTGTTAAGGTAAGAAAGACAGCCAAACCTACCTGCTCACATAGGAACAGGCGTTGCTATTTAGCTAACATTTATCGACATGCTCACACAGATGCATCAGGGACAAATTGGGGTTCAGTATCTTGTCCGAGGATACTTCCACATGCAAACCGGAGGAGCACGGGATCGAACGTCTAACTGCTAGATGACCCGCTCTACTTCTTGAGCCACAGCCGCCCCTAAATCTGCCAAGTATTACTATTATGTTTGTGCTTTGAAAACTGTTGTTACCTTCTATGCTTAAAATAAAAATAATGGCTTTTAAACCTTATTTTGGGGCAAAGTTGTCAGACCTTTTAAACTTTTTTTTGCATTCACAGCTCCCAATTATTTTAAACGGCCTTGGATGATTCCAAATAACTCCCAGGAGAATTCCCAAAATGCCTGCCAGGTAGTAGGAAGTGAATTTAAAGACTTTCATATTAGCTTTTTCTTTTTAAGCTGTTGGTTTTGTTGCTATGTTCACTTAGCTGTATGCCAGTTACACATGGTGGTTAGTGGGTATGAATATTTAGTAACAACTAATCTCTGTGCAGAAACTGTCATTGTGCTGCAACCAGTTGTAGTTTCATCTTGCATAAAGTGCCACTTAGCAAACACAGGGCTAAGTTTGAATTTATGAACAGCTGGTGCAACTGGCTTCAGTAGATTATTAACTATAGATTCACAAAAACCTGAACAATTAATCCCAACACTCAGAAGCAGAACAAGAGATCTCATCTTTCTCATTGCACACAGTTGTCTTCCCTGCAAACACCTAACATTTATTAGGTATGTAACAATTCTCTAAAAGCACAGTTTGGTTCAAACCTTGAATTGTCTTTAGAGGGGAGCAATAATAAAAGTGACAAACATTATTTTTACCACAGGCCAAGTTGCTTAATCAGAACTGGATCAAGAACAAAAACTACACTCCATGATTCAGAAGTGTTTCCAGTTCATTCGTTAACTGAACTGTTCCACCATTGGAGTCGTCTGCTTTAACTGGGAATTAATAAAGTTTACAAAAGATGTAAATGGACTACAATATTTTGCACGTCGTGATGTCAGTCATGGGTTTCAGAAACATTCAGAAACCTGGTGCTTTGACCACTTGGTTGGAGATTTGTGTCTAGCCTGCGACAAAGATACGCAACTCCACAAGAAAGCATTTTTGACAACTTTTCTCAAGTTTTATGAACATTGTAGCTGTACTTGAAATGGTAAAACACACTTTGATGTGTAAGCCATTAGTTCTCTGTTAGCCTTACAACTCATTCAACAGTTAGGTTGACAAAAGCCTACAGCTTGGGAAGAGTAGCTACAAGTGTATCTGTCAAATCCGGCGAAAATGTGTCAGATTTCCAGCCAGCTTTAATGCCTCCTGGTTCTGTTTATATTTGGCATTGCTTATATCAGGCTAGTTATCTGCCCACAAAGCTACATCCATTGTAAATACAGTAATCAGTGACTGTTACCAATTAACCTGACTTAAAAAAAAAACAAGGCAAATGACTTTCCTTTTGTCAGTACTACCCCCACAGGGCATGTATGAGGCAGAACGTAACTGAGGCACAGCTTCATCACTCAGCTAGAGATGCAGGCAAGGGGCTGGAGATGTCAAGGGTGCACTGCAGTCAGTCAGTGTCTAAAACAATATGGCAGACTGTGGAACAGATTGGAGTAAAGGTCTCAACTATTGCATATGTTACACCTGTTTGTCCCTTTACACATCGCACATTTCTACCAGTAGGGCCACATCAGTTCAGGGATCTGTTACACTGGTCTGAGGCCAGTGGAGATTCCACACGCTGCTCTTGCACTGGTCACTGTGTTTGAGACAGTAAAGAGTTAAATACTGGAGTACCGGCTCCATACAAAGAGCAGCACCAATGGTGCATGGTCAGAGATGACAAGTTCGTTTGTGGAAGACTCGAACAAGAGTGTGAGAAGCTCCCATTCAAACAGCCAGACCACAGGCTGAAAGCAGAATCCCACTTTAGTCCTCCTTAGCCATCTGCAGAGCGTCCAGGTATAAATTCTGTCACGAAGAGTCACGAATCACGGAGCTCGCGTAGCTTGGTTTGACGTAATCGCCCTTAGTCTCCACAAAAGGAATCCCAGAAGCCCTTGTGCTGGAATTGATGGCTACTTTTGCATTCGCAATACTTGACATCATTGCCTCATCACTGAGCTCTATGCAACATCAGTGTCCAGTCAGACAGGACTGTGGAGTGTCTGTGTCCAATTGTTGTCATCACTTTAAAGGGAGGCACAGTACCGGAAGCTGTGGGCCCAGATGCAGGACTTCCAGGATGAGTATCAGAAGCACGTTAGTACTGCGGAGTCTTTAACTGCAGGGAGGGCCTGTCTTTTTATGCGAGTACAACCTGGATGCTGTGAATGTATATTTCTTGATTTCCAGTGTACCAGACTACTCTTCACATTGCTTGAAACAGAAACTTCACTGCTTTGTGGCTTGCCCATTATTGATATTCATTTCATTTCCAGATGTTCAGTAGTCTCTGAGTTTTGAGCCTGTGTTATTCACCTTGTCTTCAGTGCAGTTTTCTTCACCTGTTGGGATTTTTTTGAGTGATAATCAGTCTTTCTCTCTTAATTGTCTGCAGCTCGTCATATATTAGCCTTAACCTCTTATCTCCCATTGTGCTGCAGTTCTGTTCTTAAGTCCTCAGGCAAGTTCCTTTTGGGCTGCTGCAGTCCACATAGATACATATTGGTATTTGTAGTATCTCCACTTTAAAAAACAACAACAACAAAAAACCCAGACAATTGTTCCTTTGGCTTCACGGCTACTAAACTTTGCATTAAACTGATTGAGGTTTTTTCTTTTGAATTTAAACTTGCATTAGACATTCTACATGTCCACAGCAGGAAACCACCTGAGGATTTGTGTAACAATCTTTGCATACATCTTTTGATAAAAAAAGAAGATTTCTGAATCAAAGTTTGCAATGACTGTAACATTTTTTAGAGGAACTAATAGTATTTAATTCTATTAACCCATTTCTTTCATTTCTCTTTCCGATTTTCTTTCTACAGTAGGTTTTGATGGTTATTAAATTATTATTTAAATATTTTCTGTCTATTAAAGATAAATTCCAGCATGTCTCCAAGCACATTGCTGTTGTTATTGTCATATGGAAAATGACTGTTTTCAGTGTTATTGTGTTGCTCATATTGTTCTTATTTCTGTACATTACTTTTCACTTGTTGCTGTACTGAGTATAAATACTTTGCTTTTGCTTTTATTAGCCAAAGCATTTTCATTGTCGGATGAATTGTGGTACATGCAACAAAATTTGACATACTCATTCTTCAGGTACACACAAACTGATCAATATTAATTATAAAAAAGTCTTTGTAATTGTTTCTTATTTTCTAATGATTTATAGAAAAATAAGTGCTGTGACGCCGTGAGTGTTGCGTGCAATCGTAAAGATCCTCGTAAGTGACAGACTCTGACGCACAGAACCATGACAGTGACAAACATACTGTGTATCCAAAATGATCAGAAACATTTCCAGTACAATTCCGGGATCTTTAAGACAGGTTAGGCTGCGCTCCTTTCACATTTTGGCCCAGCCAGTGTTGGACATAGAGGCGTGCAGTGTTCGATTTGTCTGTCTCACTCCAGACCAAATGTGCTGGTTTCTTCCACAGCAATGAGCAGTTTCTCATACAGCATGGTGTACGAAGGGTAGGGAGGCAGGTCGAGGCGGTTAAAGCAGGTGTGAGCTCTGAGAAATGACAGAGAGAAAGAGACAGACATTTAAACAAAACGGAGCTTTTATCCACTTTAACAAGTACATTCCATAAATAGAGCTGAGAGCCACAATATACAAGAGGTAGACAAGTAGACGAGCATGCTCATTAGCCTCCTTTTCAGCCGGGCTGGTCCCAACAGTCTCTAAATTAAACCCACTTTAATAGACAAGATGATGCACAAATATTACCTGTGAATAAAGGAGTTATTTGAAACAGTTCAGATTAAATGTTGGTGTGGCACTTTGCATTGTGCATAACACTGCACACACATACAGGTGTTAGCTAGCGATGCTAGCAGCTGCAGCCCGCTTTCCTTGCAGGTTAAAATCCATAAACCCATGCAGAATGTGGTTACTACAGTCAAGAGGTTACATGTCATTAGGGCGACCGTGGTTCAGGGGGTTGGGAAGCTCATCTTGTAACCGGAAGGTTGCCAGTTTGATCCCCAGCTCTGTCTGTCTTGGTCGTTGTGTCCTTGGGCAAGACACTTCATCTACTGCCTACCAGTGTTGCCAACTCCTCAGTAAGGAAAATCGCTATTGGTTGTCCTAAAAGTCGCTAGAAGTCGCTAAGTGACGTCATCGCCCAATTTGCATAATTGGTCATGCTAATATAATTGTAACCTATGTTGTTGGAGAGAGAAATAACATCATAGAAGAGACATAAAGTGAGTAAAAACGTCCTAAATGCATTCAGAGTTTATTTAGAACTACAAATTAAATTTCTTTTAGCAATTATTGTTTTTTAATGTCACAATTCCAACCCTGCTCCTTTA